GGGGAGAAGAAATAGGGAAAAATATGGAAAGAACGAATTCTGGAAGGACGAGGATGAGGTGCTGGAGACTATCTCTAAGGTGGCCTTGGGTGGAATGAACAAACGGGCTTTAGAAGTCTGTGAAAAGTCCCCGTTGGGTCCTAGATAAAGGCTTTGCAAATCCATCGTCTGGGCTGTCTGACAGACACAAACACACTTGCGTAACGTTTTAATTCTGCGTCGTTGTTGGCTTTAATGACAACGTAGCAACACGGCCGTGTGTCCTTTTTAGCAAACGCATGATGACAAGGAGTGTTTTCTCATGAGTTACCCATGGTTCTCTTTGGTCATTTTAAAGCACACGAAGATGTCCAACATGACAAGATGAGTAAAAAATGATGCGATTGAGGGGTCTAGGTAAGTGGAGAGAGAGAAAGAGCAGGAACATACGTACTAGGCCTCGCTCCACCCCCTTCCCGTCAAATGCATACCCAATGTTCCGCTCTCGCCGTATTTCACGCTTTGTTCACCTAAGTGCGCCTCGAGGTGTACAGCCGGTGGAGCCTGTCATGGTGGCGCATTTTTTGAATGAGAGCCAGAGATTTTAAAATAGTGACCCAAGGCGGGTGAACACGGCAGCTAAGGCCCGGTTGTGTGCGGAACCATGACGTCCTTTCTTTCGTTAAAGGCTTCGAGAATCTGCCAGTCGCCTTCTTCACCTCTTCCAAAAGCTCAGTTTGGGAGCGATTCGGTCGTTGAAAAGTTTTGGCGAGAAATTGTGCCTGGTTTCCACAACCAAAAACGGGCGGGTGTCCGCGGTCGCATAGGACTCAGACAGTGCAGTGGGCTTTTGGTGGAAAAAATGTGAGGATGAAAATCGAGGAAGTTGCGAGGTAGTTTTGTGTTCAATCGCACCTATGTATGCACGGTTGGAAAATTGTGGTAAAATTTCACCCAGACAGCCGATAATGGAAGTGTAGGCAAACCAACGTGCGGCCGGAAGGGAGTGTGTAATCACCAAGTAAATCGGGCAAAAATCGCTGAGTTAGAACAGCTCCATCAGCCCCTGTGGCTCTCCTGGCAGACACAGTTTGATGATCGTCCCCTCGGAGCAGGCGAACCCAACGTCGCTTGAGTAAGAACCGACAATGCGGGTTGGTGTGCGCACCACTGAAAGGGCACTTTGAGAAGACCTCCATCGTTGTCATCTATACGTCAGTAATCGGCTGCGGAGAAGTGCAACAAAGAAGCCTCGCACGCCACGTCCCGTACCCACCCCCCCCCCCCGGTGTCGTCTGCTAATCACTGCCAAGAAGCTCTTCGAACTGTAACCCCATTCGCTGATTTGGGCTTGGTTTGTGGTGCGAAAATGGCGGAAGGTTATTGGGTTGTGCCGGCCCGAACTAAGTTTTTGTTACCAACACGCACTTCCGGCATCGCTGCAAACCCCTGATGATCTTGCATTTCAAGGATAGTAGTGTGGTAGAGGGGGGTGATCATCGATTGCGTTACGGAATACACTCGTTCCGTTGTGCCTTGGAGCTCGCTCTCTCGCACTCCGCCAGCGGCCGCCGCCGTAGGGTTGGGCATGGCTGGCTAAACAAGTCCGAAATTGCTTTTGCAGTCTTTGCTATCCTGCCGACAGTCATATGGCCGGTCAGCCTGCCTACATTTCAATCAGCCCAAGGTTTCCTATCCGGATACATGGCAGTTGTATGATGCGTGGTGACGAAACTTACAACGCCCTTGAATCAACTCATGCTCGAGAGTTCGCCCATAATATATGTTAGAATGGCCTAACGCCAGAAGTCTTGATGTTGGAAAATTACGACAGTTCAACTTCGTGTCACAGGGCTGAGATTGATCAAGTATCTACTGGCGGCGCCGTTCGAGCGAGTAAACGGTCAGCTTCATGGGAATGAGGCACCTACCGGCGGAGGAAGTGACAGAGGCAACAGCTCCAAGAAAGGAGTTGATGCTGAGGGGAGGTGGTGCCGACTTTCGTTGTGCAACCGGAGATGCCGCCTTTTCTGTCCCCTCTGCAGCCTGCGCTTGAAGCCATCGGGAGACAGACTGGTGATCCAATGTCGAAGTTGTCCGTTCAGGGGGTTGCACTCCCCCCGTAGCCTCTTGTCCCAAGCCCATGGGGGTCTTTGCCGTATTTGAGGGGGCGACAGAGGGAGGTAAAGTGTTCGGTGCAGGATCATCCGACATTGCGATATCTGTTGTTTTCGATGCAGATGGAGGTTGCTGGTCCATGGGTTCCTTGCCTCCACCAGTTAATTCGGATACACGGTCAGGAGGAGTAAGTGGGTTCAAAGGATGTGCAACACCATTGCATACCTGCGAAAAAAAAACAAATCAAACAGCTCTCACCTCAGTGTACGAACAAGTAAGGGTTACAAGCTAACGTAACCTAGAAACGAATTCTCGTCTACGACTTCACTCCGGTAACCGCTCCGACTGATGGGCTAAACCAAGCGAGGGTGGTTGTCTTGTCTTAGCAAAGTCGGTGAATCTGTGTGCGAACACAGATTGGGTACTGAACGGAAGCCGGCCGTGTGGTAAAACGCACCATGGCAACCACCAACCCCTAACCCCACACCGCTAATCGTCATGGAGTAGCCTTAAGACCGCATCACAATGGGATTTGGAATAGTGAGACCGGCGCTGCACAAGTTTTCCTCACGGTGATCAAACCCATGGACAAACTCCAGTAGGTATTCACCTATTTTCATAAACTTCTTTTAGCATCCCCACAGATAGTCCAGGTCAATTCTGCCCGTTAGCTAACGGTAGGGGCATTCGACAGCCCTATCTACGGAAGCACTACAAACTTCCTCAAGAGAAAGCGCCTACGATGGGTGACCTAAACTTTGTCCTCCCAAGTCCTCAGGACGTTGTAGTTGCAGTCACAGGACCGAAACACAGGCGAAACACGACAAACAGGAAAACGGCACATCCTCACCCCCCCCCCTTCGCCAGTGGCTGTGCTCAGTCTGAGCGCATGGAATGTACGTCACCTCTGAATTATTCTAATGATCACCCAGTCCAGAAAAGACAAAAGCTCTGGTCGACCGTGAAACCGTCGGAAAAGTGCGGACGTCGCAGTCCGTGAAACCCCGCTTCGTAGAAAAGTGACAATTCGAAGAAGACAGAATAGGAGCAGCCATCGGAAGGAAAAATTGCTGGAGATGGACACGTCGTAGATTATGTCGTGTGTTTATGGCCAACAGAACGACTTCGTCAGTGTTACTGAAGGCCATGCATAGATGTTGGAATTGCGCACCCTGGGGGGGGGGGGGGGGGGGAGAGAGGGTGCAACGAGAATTAAATTTTCGGAGAGTACCCTGGGCGGGGCATATTCCCATGCTGTGCACGGCTCGCGGTCTGATAGCTGGGGCGCAGGTGTCTGCGTGCGCAGTAATTAAGATGAGCCTGGTGCTTCTCGATTCTCATTTTCGGTGCAACAGCCGCCGCGCATGTTGCGACGATGTCGAGTGCGAAGACACCCCCCCCCTCCCCCCACCCTCCTCCTAACGTGCGTATCCCGGCGATATCGATTTGCTGTGCAGAGCGCGCGCGCGCGCGTACACTCGACCGCACTGGAATTGACTCATGTGGAGACCGAGACTGCGAAGAGGATGATAAGGAGACGGAGAAGGAGAAAAAGGGTGCGAAAGAGCAATGACGAAGGTGGGGGAGAGGGGTGCAAAAAGGCAGGTGATTCACAGCACAGCCGTCGCGCCACCGTCATTCACATTTAACTTCTCTGACTCCTCCGGCCGCTGTTTCGCCGACCCAATTTACCTACTTGTTCTTGCAGTCGGCGTTCGGATGTGCGTGTGGCTTTTCGTGGCGTAGTAGCAGACTTGTAAAGTGGCCATTCCAAATCTTAGCAGAACCAAGGTCGACGAATGATTGCCAGAAAGCTCGAGAGCAAGGCGAACGGAGGCGGTGTAAAGGGAGAAGGAAGCTGGGAGATGAAGACTGCGTGTCGCACGGGGTTCGCACGTCCCCATGCCGCCTTACCCTCTGTAGTTCGTGGTAGGGGAAATTTTACAAGTCGGTAATAGCCAGTATATGAGGGGGGGAAGGGGTTGGCAACAAGTATAAACTAGCATACTTCGGTTCACACATTCAGCCGACGCGCATCACTCCAAAAGTGGAAGAGGCAACAATGTCCTGGCCGCCTGGGAATTGATGTGGAAGCGACTATGTGTTCCAACCTTCGTTTAGATGGCTAATCTGAACAGTGAACTTTTCTACCTATGAATCATGCAATCAGTTACCCTGCAGAATGAGGGTTAAACGGGTGGCGACAGCTATTTCTTCCTTGGCAAGTGATGAAGGCAGGCATTGATAGGCGGAAGGCGCGTCATGTTAATAGTAAAGAAGATCTGTGCAGTATCTACCACATTGATCGTGTTCTGCTTTTCCTATGACGACGATTGGGGACGTGTGCATGAAAGCAGTGCCTGACAAAGCCAAACTACTTGTTTCCTGACTTCACAAACGTTAGGCTTCGACAGGGCGGCGTGACCTTATATAACTGAAAGTGCCGCGAAAGCCAGAGCGAGAGGGAACAATCGCTGTCAGACCCCGAGCCCTGACTGTTATGTGTTCAGTTGACGGTCTTCCAAGTCATGTCTAACGGTGAGTGATGACTAGAAAGCACTTTGGGTTGTGATAGGTGGCGCTCACCGATTGTTCATACGGAACTCACTCGTTCCGTTGTGCCTTAAGGGCTCTCTCGCTCGAGACCGACCAGCAGGCGCACAGCGGCGCATGATATCGGCAGTATGTTATTACCGACAAAGACAAGGAAGTCTGGAATGGCCATTTCCGGCTTATTAGCCGTCGTCAGTCAGTCGTACCCAAGCCCGAAGTGTGGGACACCCGAGGCTCGAACTCGCGACCTGTTAGTCAGAAGTCCACGCCTCTAACCACTGGGCCACGAGCCCGTTGCCCTGTCGGTTTTCGATCGGGAATATATAATGGCATGGGGGCGCTCGCCGATCGTTCTTACGGAAATCACTCGTTCCGTTGTACCTTACGGGCTCTCCGTCGAGCCCAACCAGCGGTCGCATAGCGGCGCGTGACAGGCAACGGGCTCTGGTTAGGGGCCTGGACTTCCTACTAACAGGTCGCGAGTTCGAGCCTCGGGTGTTCCACACTTCGGGGTTGGTTATAACTGGCTGACGACGGCTAATAAGCCGGAAATGGCCATTCCAGTCTCCCTTGTCTTTGTTGGTAATGTCATTCTGCCTACTTTGGACTGTTTTAAGGAAGGGAATTGAGAACTGGAGTGGAGTTGGAATGACCCCAGACTTACCTCTCCGGCGTGTCAGCCGAAGCCTATCGGCTGCCTGACAATGACGTGGCGTGAGCTTTCGACTAACACGCGCTACAAGTACTAGTGTGTGGTCCCACGCGGAGTCATCGCGGCTGGACTGACGTGTGCGCATGACCTCCGTTCTGGTTTAGCACGACAGCTGCGCAGCTCATCTGAGAAGGGGGGGAGAAGGGGAGTTGAGTGGGATGGCAACTGATGTCCGTCACATAGTAGAACTCGGAGCTAAGAAACCCCTCTAAGGACCCTCCCTACCTGACCACTTTGTTAGGGGCTACAGCGTAGACTTGGGGTTACGGCAAGTATTGGACGCATTCCTAAGTCAACTCCTGAACATAATTCTAATTTGAGCACTAGTTCTACTCGCCTAAAATCCACCTTAGACAAGATCCTATTTCGTAGTCGTACCTGTTAGGTATTCGGATAAGGGTTAGAGGTTGGGGTTAGGGGTTAGGCTGGGGATTGTCTACTGCAGGTACGGATACAAAATAAGATCCGGCCCAACCTTAACCTTAAACTTGCCCTCTACGTGGCCCTAACGCTATCCTCAGATTCAAATCATAACACTGACCCTAGTCAGAAATGGTATTACCGACAAACACAAAGGAGACTGGAATGGCCATTGTTGGCTTATTAACCGTCGTCGTCAGCCAGCCATACCCAACCCCGAACTAACTAACAGGTCGCGAGTTCGAGCCTCAGGTGTTCCACACTTCGGGGTTGGGTATGACTGGCTGACGACGGCTAATAAGCCAGAAATAGCTATTCCAGTCTCCCTTGTCTTTGTCGGTAATATCATTCTGCCTATATATCATGCGCCGCTGTGCGGCTGCTGGTTGGGCTCGAGACAGAGCCCGTAAGGCACAACGGGACGGGTGAGCTCCGTAGAAACGATCGGCGAACGTCCCTCTACAACTAACCCTAGCCGTAAACCTAGCAGCAACCCCAGGCTGTCCGCATCTTACGCTCTGACGTTTTGGAAGTCAGTAAGCATCCGTAGTCGGAGCGGTGTACACCAGACCCTACGGACACAACTCAGTCAACGAGGCCTCAGATTTCAAGGGAGACAGTGCACGGATGAGGGAGGCAAATCAGAACCCCATCATGAGCGGCGATTTAAACACCAGCGATAACTGCATGAAGGTGACCTGTCGTTGGAGTGCTAAAACGTGCCTCCTAAAAGGATGTGCTCTGAAACCTCATGGCATTTCAATTTCAGAAAATTCTCGTTGAAGGACATGGTAGGAAGTTTGTTTGAATATGGACATGCCTGAATGCTTTCTAGTTAAGTCACTTATTCAGGATTTGACATAGTAACCGGACTTACAGGACGTTCGCACTCCTAGCGACACAAATAAGTGCAAGTCTCTTCAACGAGCAAGCTTCACAGTAGTTTAGGGACCCTAGTGACGCTTTAACAGTCGGGACGCATAGTAAAAAACGGAGAAAAAAGCATTTAAAACCTTGAATAGGGCAGGATACGAAGAGACAGCTTTCAGTGTCAGGATAACCAAATGTTGGTACCACATGTTTGATAAAAATTATAGATCAAAGCTAGTGAAAATTTGATTTCCAGGTCAATGTTAGACGAGAAGGCTAACTCATGAAATGTCAACTGAAATTCCGAAATGCGTTTTCGTATCGAAAAGATTAATTAAGTAGGGGTGTAAAATTAATCATCGTGCAGCACAATTCCATGATAATTCAGTTACCTCAAGATGCCGGCTTTCGAACGAACTTCTTTCCGGCTGCATGCAGAAACTATACTCTGTAAAAAATTGACGACTTAAGTAGCATGCATTTTCTAATTGATTTTCGATGTCTTTAAAAATTTACTTATATTTCATTGCAAAACATGCATAAAAATATTCATTCGGTTCGGTAGAAAATTACGTCTTCTTCCAATTCTACACTCGAAGGAAGGGTATAATTCGGATTTAAGAAGTTTCTAGTTGCAAGATTTCTTAATACTAAGACGTGGCCGTTCATAAAACGCCATGTCTCTGTATTTAACAATGTGGCTTGTAAAGTTAACAATATGGCTCAAATCCACAGCTAAATTTTATGAACCGCATATGGTCTCCTCTTTATACCGTAGAGGAATGTATGGTTTTCTGTACGCGGAAAGTTTACGGTTTGTAGTTTGGAAACCCTGAATGCAAGTGAAACGGCAGGTCGGGATTCAGAATTATTCGGGAATTTAAGAGGTTTTTGAAAACCGAATGATTACCTTTCCTTTGAGTATGAAATAGGAAGAAAACCTAATTTTCTACCGAATGAATAAACGAATGAATATTGCTATGCATGCTTTCCACGAAATACAAGTGAGTTTTTAAGGGCATCGAAAATTTGAGGGAAAAACGCATGCTACTTCAATAGCGCATATGTTTGACAAACAGTATCGATCAAAGGTAGTGACAATGTGATTCCCAGGCCAATGGTAGACGAGAAGGCGTTCATTGCGAAGGCAATATTGGTTTTCCGAAGTCTAAAACAGCCCCGGCGGTTGTACTCCATGCAGAGCTCATGATATAAATCTGAGAGTCTGACAGCCATTAAAGATGGACGGCCGACATTACTAGATGAAATGCTGGACAAACAACGTATCCCTTCTCATAAACGTCTTCTCTTTTTCTGAAAAATGATCGACTTATTAACACTACTTGCGTGTAGTACACTTATTGTATGAAATTACAATATAGAGTTCAAGAAAAACACTCTAAAATAAACTAAGCTGTAACAAAGACGAAAGGTAGGGCAACTAAGAGCTTAGTGAAGGATTAATACCCAAGGGAGATTTCTTATTCAGAAATTACGCGACGTGCTAGAGCCAGTATAATCGAAAGCCGATTATCTAAAAAGCCCACTGTTAAGTTGTTGTAATCTTGCTGTTTAATTGTCTTGAGTACCATGACAAATTTCATCTCTAGTGGCAGTGATGCTGTCGTGACCGACGGTGTCAAGCGTGTGCTCCAGAGCAGGGTGAGAGCAGGGACGGTGACTTGCTCGCGAGTTATTTTAAAGTGATGGTGGACCTGCGAAGCGTCTACCGCACCCTCTCCTTCTCCTCCTCAAACTGGGTCCGGTGTGAAGACAGAGTCAAGAAGACCGGGGCGGGAGAGGACGTAGGTGGTCGGCGCGGTGGGGACCCACAACCAGGCATACCGCCACACCCCCTGGTCTACAACAACACTTGATTAGGAATTTAACCAACAACAAGAGCGATGGCTAGCACGACCGGAGCCGTCCCTAGGCGTACCGCCTTCATCTCTAGTAATGAAGTATTGGCCAACCATCTAGAAGTATACTTAAGATGAGAAAACGATCCCTGCATTTTAACATTGTGCGTGCAAATAAGCACTTGTTTAATCGGACAGCCACGACTACTTACATGCAACAGCTACGCCGTTGGTCAATCCCTTCGCCCTCTGTCCCCAGGAAGAAAGCGAGGATACAATAGGACAGTAATGTCGGGACTAACTAAACATACCATATACACGCTTCAATGGTACCAAAACGGTCAGCCTTATGCAGAACAGTTCTACACTGGATCAAGAGATGCCAAATAGAAATAATCACGGAATTAGTCGTCCACCCGGAGGTCAGTACCTCTGTGGCTTCCTTGTGCAGCGAGTACGGCCAACACTGTTTATAACTTGCACTCAATAAACCTGTAAAAAATTGTCGGCGACAAGTGCCCTCATGTTATAAACGGGCCTCGGACAGATCAGAATTGTTGAACCTTCCTTTTGCGGGCAATCCCATATGCGTTCAATAGGATCGATATCCGGGACTCAAATGTGTCAAGTAACCAATAAGATACCGGGCGCTTATCGAGTTTTGGGCAGAATGTGCTCGACGAGGTGCGTTACTGCCACTTTGCAGTGTGCACCACACCATTCATCTTCTCGCCACCTACGAGCAGCCCGCTGTCGGTACCTTGCTACCTCCCGGACTTCAGGGTGATTTCACTCTGACGTCTGACGTCATTACATCAAATGACAGACGCCAACTTCCGGTGCTGCATGCACCTGCATGCCTGATTTGTTCTGCGTGCGTTTACTGACAGAGTCGATGATTAACCCTGCAGACCCTTCAGACGACTTGCCAATTTACGCTCCGTCAAGTGGGAGGTCGTAAAATTGCCGCCGATTAAGCAGGTCAGAGGAAGATGTTTGTCACCAACTGCCTGGCTATTTTCTGTACTTTCACTCGTATGCGTTTGGGGGTGGTTCGGTAAGTTGTGGTATGTAGCCCCACCTGATAGACACAATATTGTTGGGATTAGGGGTTAGAGTTAGGCGTTAGGGCAACTATTTCTCAACCGCTCAAAGTACAACCGCGCATCCTCGTCGCCTGTGCATTCCCCGGTCCCACCTGTAAAAACCCCTATTACCACCGGTCCTGTATTGCAGGTGGTTGGGATTTGTTTACTTCAGGTGAGGCTACATAACCACATCTGACCGGTAGTTCTCATTTTCGCTGAAGGCACGCGCTCTCCGGAGTAGGTATAGCGGTAAGACTGTCTTTTATCAGAAGAATGCATACCGATAAATTATAGCTTTGACGTTTTCATAGCCTACAGCAAAAGGATCTTCCAGAAAAGTTCGTCGTTAAAGCAAAATTTTCGGTTTTTTGAGAAACTTTGGTAGCGAAAACTAGCACTCGAGGTTAGGGTGGATTCAGGCCACAAACGCAGTTCTACTACTTCCATATTTTAGTAGAACATAGCTCATAATAAGACAGTCCCTCACAGTTAGTTGGCAGCGGGGTAAGTTGTGACTATGTAGCCCAAACTGAGGAACACAATACTTTTGGGGTTGGATTTAGGGGTTAGGGCAACTATTTCCCAGCCACTCAAAACACAACTGCGCATCACCAATAGCTTTTCTTTTACATACGACTACTTGAACTCGTCGTTTGTGCGGTTCTCGGCTCCAGCTGTAAAAACCCCTGTCACCGCCGTATTACAAGTGGCTGGGATTTGTTTACTTCAGGTGGGGCTACATAACCACATATGACCGGCAGCGGTGCTGGATGCAGGTCGGTAACACAGAAATAATGGGGTAGTCGACGAAAAACGACCCATAACCACCCTAGTCGCCTGGAACGTCAGCGTGATGCCATGGGTTATCGCTCGACATGAAGTCAATACGTACAGTCAAGTGTTCCCAAGAATAGAGGAGGGATGACAGTGTGGATGCGCGGTAGTGGGCGGATATTTGTTCTGACTTCATCAACATACTTGAAGGCTCGCAAAGTCGTGCGAATGGCAGTGATTCGGTTGAATATATCGCCCCTAGTTTGTCTGTAAGGCAATAACTCAGTTCAACAGAGTAGAGGACGTTGGACTTCTAACAAACAGGTCGTGCGATCGGGCCTCAGGAACTGCAAACTTGGGGTTGAGTACGGTGGGATGATGACGGCTACTAAGTCAGAAACGGCCATTCCAGTCTCCGTCGTTGGACTAGTCACTGTGTTACTGCTGGAGGGGCTCTAGATTGAGCCCCGAGGCAAAAAGCGGGACGAGTGTGTCCCGTAACGCGATCGCTGAGCGCCCCCTCTACCAAAGTGGGACATATTAACTCCTAGAAGTTGACAGTCATAATAGCCGCGGGTGGATTTTATAGGCCAGAAAAACGCCCCGACAATACTCTGGTCTCTGGTGGATAGTTTCGTAACTGGAGGGCTTGGGCTCCCGAATCACTAAGTAATCTGCCTTCATAGCCTGGCGCTAGTAGAACGAAACCAACAGCTTAGACAAGTCGATCAGCCGGTAATCTTAGTGCAGATTGCACACATTCGACGTTATGCATCCCTGTTGAAATATCAAACGGTTGCAAGTTGTAGACAGGAAACCTGGGCAGTGGCGGATCGACATAAGAAGTATAAGATCACAATGGCAATTTTGCCGACATAACGTCTAGCCCCACCAGTCGACAATGAGCATCGCGGTGGACGGAATCAGGCGTTGGAGCAAAATTAACGAAACAGATGGCCATCAGATGTGGACATACATGGTGGGAGTCCAGGATGACTTGTAGTACAAATAACGGTCGGTGCATCCACACCCGACTCTAACCGCGGCTCAGTGGGGTTTCATATTCCCATTTAGTATATTTTAAAATCACCCGAGAACGACAATGGCAAGGGCCTTTGGAGCAATATCGTCTTAATTTAGTCCTGGAAATTCACGTTCCTATTTAAATAAAGATGCACGGATAAACAAGCCCTTGGAATGTATTCAGTCACCCCATGGGACCAGCCCAAGCCAGAGCTCGGGCTGCCTGTACAGATATTTATTAGTTTTTTTGTATTGACATCCTGAATGGATTAAGTAAATATTCTGGCCACTTTGCTGACCGAGGGGCTTCATGAAGAGAATTAGCGAATCCTGAGCTGACTGACATGCGGGCTGCGAGCATATCGCTGGAATACCAGGTCAGCAAATTCTCGTGTCAATGATGGAAGCTTGTATTGCTTACAGACGGGTGATTTCTGGGTCACTGGATCTTAGCCGTCATTCATCGCTGTCGAAGTCAGAAGCAAGTCAGCAGCAGCAGCCAAATGAATAGCCGTTTGAGGAGTTAGCTGGCCCTACCAAGCCATTCTCGTCCTTGATAACGATTAGCAGACCACGGGGAGAGCGCCTGGTAACTTGCCCTTACAGCTGAAAGTATAAGATATCTTTGTAGCTCTGGCTGAGAGCTGATGTGGGGGAGGGGGGTTTAAAGGAAACCACAAACATTAGGCAAAACGGTTGGAGACTGAAATAGGTACCCCCCGTACTACAGGTGACTGCGTTAAATTCCAGGGATGCGTATTCCCATACCCTAGCCCTAACCCACTTGGCCATCTGTAATGAGGGGTACATATTCCTGTTAAATCTCAAGTATGCCCCTGTCACTAACTGCTCCCTCCCCAAACAAGGAAGGCTTTTTTTCATCCCTTCCGAGAGTATAGTTGACCCACCGTGTCCAAAATATGAGTGGCTGAGGACGCTGTGGTGTTTGTAGAAACAGGAACTCATCTAGGAATCTTGAGTTCCTGAAAGCCTGACTCGGGGATCCGGACATCGGCCGCACAGGAGGCATTCTTACTGTCGTTTTATGAACTACACACACTGAATAATTGAGTAAGAGTATCCGTGGCACGTTTAAACATTCTAATATGCAACATTATAGCCGTTCCTGAACAACTTCTTCAGCTCGCATACTATTCATCCACACAATTAAACAGGGTTTTCGAGCGTCTGGGTTTCAGCGAATACAGTATCACGAATCACATTAGAATGTTCGGACACAATTTTCATGAGTTTTATTATTCAATTTCGGTATAGATCATTCGCTAGCAGTCGCCTCCAATAACGCTATGACTCGTTGGAACAGAATCTCAAAACAGCAGTGAAAAGTGAACCCATTTAACAGTAGTACACGATTGCCATGTTGTGGTGCCGTCAATCGGCTTTGCGGTGTTCCGGACTTGAGAAGGATCGGCGTGTTTGATAACTGGTGCCTCCAGAACACACTGCGACTTCGTCTCATGGACTACATCTTGAAAGTGAAAGTCCATGATCGGCTCACGATGCCTTTTGCTGGTGAACCAGTAAAGAATGAATGTCTCCGGTAATTAGACCATGCACTCAGGGAATCTGATGTCAAATCCGTCGACGACATCACATCTGCGGACACCTGTACGATATGACACCGTTGTGGCCTACCGGCGAAGTGGCCAGATATGGTTCAGTGATACCTGGAGCAGATGTTGGACCTAACGGTCGTCACAAGGACGGCTGAGGACCTAGCCGGTTGTCGCAGTGTA